GGTATTACAACAACTTTCGTGTGCTCCGGCAAAGTATGCGTACAAACGGCGAATAATGCACATCATATATATGTATATGTGACAATTTTCCTCGTTCTCCTTTTTCGAACAGTAAACATTATTGCGCAATTATTTATTCGAGTATGACACATTTTATTTAATTAAAGTTCCTTGCGGTGGCTCGTTTTGTAACATATACACGGGGATGAATATTTTGTTGAAGTACGCTCTAAAAAAATGTCGGTGTGAACCTCATTCTTACCCTTTAAAAAATAGCGGTATGAATTTAATATGCGGTACTTGTATAATTCTCACTGTTAATATTAGCATCAATAGAGTAAAAATTGTACACACCGTAAGGTATAATTCTTACTGTGTTGAAGTTAATATTAAAAGTAAGACTTATATTAGATACTGCATGTTGAATTCATAGCGCTATTTTTTAGAGGGTCAAAATTAGATAAATCTGAAATGATTTTATTAGACTGTCAAAATATTTATGTAGTATACTGAAACTGAGTTACTGATTATGAGATAAGGATACAGTTATTTGTAGCTGAGGAGTAAACGGAGGGTGTAGTATTATGTGTTTTATACATAATATATAGTTTTATCTAATTTTTACGTTTAATTTTCTTCTTTTTAATTTTATTCGCGAAGGATCAATTTTTTATAGTTCTATATACGTTTTGTAACATCTTTTTTTAAAGAATGTTTATTGTATAGCTCTTCTAGACTATTTTATAGGTAAATGAGCTCTTATAGATTATTTATATCATATTTCTTTTATAAATATTTTTTGTAAATAAATTGTGAATAAAGGCATCACTAATGACGAACGTTGTATTTAAAATAAAAATACAAAACCGACATGAAATTTTATTGATCCCTCATTAAATGTTTAAAAAATTATGCTATTAGCGGTATCTGTCAGATCGGGTTTTCAAACATTTTAATTAATAATAGATTTTACGACAAAAAAGCAAAATTCCATAAATCAGGACTTATGCTTGCTCGTAATGAAAAGAAATTTGTACCTTCTACCAATTTAATAAGAATTTCAAATTTGAAATCGATAGAGAGAAATATAGGTAATGTTTATCAAGTCCCGAGACCATTAGTCATCAAACGATGGTCCAAATCATTATTCCCTTCATAATAATACTGTTATTACAAAATATTACTTTGATCATTATTAATGATACAAATGATCATAACATTAATTTGATTTCCTAAGGAATAATACAGTTTTCATACATTCAAGGATTTATCTGGCGACTGCTCGACCTTACTTCTTTTTGATCTTTGCCCTATTTTTGTAACGATCATCCCCGAAGCGTTACGATACTTCATCGATGTGCGTCATTCGGCGACCACCGTCCTGGCGACGACATTTTACTGCCTTGTCGGGGCTTCGTCATTTTATTTACTTATTTCTCTCTCTCTCTCTCTCTCTCTCTCTCTCTCTCTAACCCTAGAAAATAGTTCAACGTGGAACCGTGGACCGCCCCATTTGCATGGATTTCAATCTCAAAGATCGTGAATCCGCGAGCGGTATCCTTTGGATAGACGTCGTCGTTACCCCTTTCTAGTCTGAATTAATGACTTAAAGGTAGATCATGTAGCCTCCAATGGATATTCTCGGATATAATTTTAATTTCTTATTTCATTTTTTAAATTTATTTTCATTAAAACGGAAATACAAAGGGCGTACACCGCAAAATATCGGCAGCGAATATTTTATATTTAGATATTTAATAGATTCACAAATTAAAAATAGACGTTTCGGCCTTAACCTTCCGCTAACGGACGCAGAGTCTCGCTAGACCCGCGAGTTAGAGTTGTTTAAGTCTTTTCAATCTTTTCAACTGTGAAGAAAATGAATAAATGGATATTTGTTTCTATGATAAATATGTGTTTTTATTTTTCTTTCTACATATTTTATACATATTATTATATAATAAAAAATTGTTTTTCAAACGTTTTAAAATAATTTCATTCTTGGGTCGTTTTTGACTCTGCGTCCGCCGTGCGTGCGAGTATCACGACGTCCGAGGGTTAATTAGGCCATCTTCAGTATACATATACAGGGTGTCCATTTTAATGTCCCACCCCAAATAACTTTTTTATTTTTGATCTTAGAAAAAATGTTTCAGACAAAAATTGTATGGCTTTGAGGGGGACATAAGATGGTGTCATTAGTTTGACCTTGAATAGTTGCTTGAAGGTCACGTGAAGGTTACTTTCAATTTCTTAAACGGAACCCCCTACTTTTTATTGTATATTTTTCTAGATCATCTCGAAGATTTTTCAAAACGCTATAATTAAATGCCTTTTCGTTAAGTACTTGTTAAGTTATAAGGCAAGATCGGGACATGATCCAGTCGGTCAAGGCAAGATAAAGGTACGATTCGGCCAGATCGTGCCTTTATCTTGCCTTGACTGGCCGGATTAACTTAACAACTACTTAACGAAAAGTTACTTAATTATAATGTTTTAGAAAGCTCTCGAGATGATCTACAAGAATGTGCAATAAAAAGTAGGGGGTTCCGTTTAAGAAATTGAAGGTAATCTTCACGTGACCTTCAAGCAACTATTCAAGGTCAAACTAATGACACCATTTTATGTCCCCCTCAAAACCATACAACTTTTGCCTGAAATATTTTTTTCTAAGAATAAAAAATAAAAAATTTATTTGGGGTGGGACATTAAAATGGGACATCCTGTATAAGAAATTATGCAATTTTTCGCAAAGTACCTAAAACTTGAGTCTTACAATCATTACATGCCTATATTATTAAAAAGAAATTTAATTTTAAACCATTTTAATTTTAAATCACTTATTTATATTTATTGTTTATTTTCATTATTCAAGTAACAATATCTTCTGTATAGATATGCGGTCGTTCCTTTCCAGTTTCGATCCGAATACAGCATTCAATAGATATCGATAGAGAATTTTAACGCTTTAATGCAAATTCTCAATTTCAAGATTATTAATCCGGATGATTCGACAGAGAGAGAGAGAGAGAGAGAGAGAGAGAGAGAGAGAGAGAGAGAGAGAGAGAGAATATCTGTAATCACAATTATTCCTATACTCGGCGGATATTCAGGAGTAAAATGGCCGGACGCTTTGTGATGCAATTTATGTGACGATTATGAAAGTCAGGTACATATATTGAAACGCGTACAAACTGCTTTCGGCGAAACAGTAAAGCGAAAACGAAGCTTTTTACTGCTTCCTTCATAGAAAGGAGTTTCCGCGAATGGCGCCGGCGAAGTTGGAAAACTCGCCATACATACCGGTAACGCTAAGAAACTTTTAATGAAAATCGAGCAAGACTCTTTTCTATCCTGCGATCTTCCGTCCCGGGGAATGGATTCGAAAATGGTTTTTCGAAATTCTATCTATTCTAGATGTGCCGCGACACGATGTGTATCGTCTGTACAAACTAACGTACAGAATTCATCCCCCTTTTTTTTTACTTATTTTTCAACACCTGTACAATTGAACCAAAAAAAGAAACAAATTTATATTCCACAAAAATATTGCGAATTGCACGAGAGGAAGTATAGTTCAAATGTGTCATATAATCTAAAATACGAGAGTCAGCTCCCTAGTTATTTTCTTTATATACATATAATCGATAAATCCTCAGATTTCAAAGCTAGCCTAATCAAATTGAAAAGATTCCTTTGAACATACTTTTCTTACAGTTTCGTGGAAGTGAAATTGAATTTTTTATTTGTACTTCAATGTCGAGTTTATAATGTCAAATTATACCCAATTTGACTTATTTTTAACCATTAAATAATTCAATTCAAGAAAATGTAAAGTTTGACTCAAATTATGATTTATTAAGCATATGTTAATACAAACGTTGTTTTACTTTGCAATCATGGAAATGAATTGATTTACATTTTGACGCTCATGCAAGTTAAAAATAACAAATGTAATTTAACTCAAGAGATAGGTTTATCATTGTTTCTTTCATATTTGTTATTTCCAGTGTTTGTTGGAGGTAAAAAGAAACACTTAAAATTTACGAAATTTTTTACATACCGTAAATTTACATATATCTATAATAGATGTAAAAATTACATGATTAGTCCCGTAAATATAAAAAAATCATGCAATTTTACAGAAATTATGTAATTCCACAAAAATTATGTAAATTTGCTTGTATAATGTATTTTATTTTATATGGAAAATTACGTAAATAGCAGGATATTTTGAATATTTTCTGTAATTATCCAAATTTTTGTAATGTATTGTCATATTATCGTTCTTATAATTACACATACACATTGTAATTGTACTTCCACAATCTGCTTAGTTACAAATCAAGAAATTATTTTTATTTGCATATTGCAAATTTACGAACGCGTGGACGTTTACACAACTATTATAGTAGGTCTCAAAATTATCCACTATATAATAGTTGTAATTTTACACAAAAATTTTTTACAGTATATCGAAGAAAGTAAAATTTTTACTTTCGAGATATATAATTGTAAATTATGGAAATGATATTTAAGTTTCTATTAAATAGCCTTATTAAACATTGTATTGCGGAAAGCGCGCGAAACGTCTCTCTCTCTCTCTCTCTCATCTTTCTCTTGTCCCGCGGCCGCATTGGCTCGTAAGAGTTCGATTAATAAAATCTCACGCCAGTTGAACGAGCGTCGTAACGACGTCGGCGCCAGCGGGCGCGACGGAGGTGCATAACGATGACGCGAAAAGACGTCCCGATCGCAGTGGCGAGATCCGAGGAGCGAGAAAGAGAGTCAGCGTGAAGGAAAGAGAGGGAGAGACGCGGGAGAAGGTCGCGCGAGAGAGAAGCAGAGAGCGAGCGGCGACCGAGGGAGAAGGAAGGAGACGGCGGACGGTTTCGCGGGATCGGTGGCGTGAGCGATCCACGCATGCGCGCTCGCGCCTTCGAAACTCGGCGCGCGTTCTCTACTTCTCTCGTCGCCGTCATCGTCGAGTCGGTGCCGTCAGTGGTGCACGATCGGTCGCGTTGTACGCATGTGATGGGTGCGAGTCGCGGGTGAAAGAGAGCCAAGAGAGTTAAAAACTAACAGCACACGGAGTCGCATATACACGCGGAACGCTACTTCGGCACTCCGCTCTGCTTTACTCGAACTCGATTACTTTCTATCTTCCATTTTCCGTCTCTCGCTCGCGCGCGTTCCCATTTACGTTACTTAAAGAGTTTCGAAGAACCGCACCACCTTCCTCTCGTTCGGCAACGAACTCCACGTATCGGTGCGGCATACCAACGAGATTTAACGACGAAGAGCGGCCCGGAACATGAAAACACTTATGGAGAATCAGCTGTCCTGGCTCGCGCTGTTCATGACCGCCTTGTATTCTCGTGAGTATTTATCCTCCCTCTCCCATATTCTGCCTCTCGATTCTGCTCGCCAAGATCGTGTCGTGCAACGACACCGGCGACCGGCGACTTTTCGCTCTATTATATTACAGCGTTACGGAGCTCGCTCGTTTCAGCATTTAAGCCTATTCTACTATAATGTGCTCTTTGTTTCCTGTTTCTTGCTTTTTACCTTTTGCTTTTTCCTCTTTCTGATCATTTTATCGACAATTATATTTCTTGATGTGTGTTTTCTGTTCCTTCCGAAGTTCGTTAACGTTTATCTCGAACAGAAAACGAAAAATGGGATAAGAGGCAAAAAGGCAAGATTCAAAAAATAGCAAAAAGTTAGAAACAGGAGACAGAAAGCGTATCGTAGAATAGGTTTTATACTTTCGCATTTATTTTTCTTTGATCTTGCCGTTTCCGAAGATTCGACTCATTTCCTGCTGCGACTGCAGGAAACGCAAGTAAGACTACTCGCTTTACGTGACGATTCACGAGAATCTTTTAATTGAAGTAGATTCGCAGCGAGCTGAATCATGCGACAAGCAGATCGCTTGGATCAAAATATCGTGCGTCTATTTCGATTTACGTAATGTTTCTCGAGCTACGTTTTGAAATCTGCTGACGCGGTGAGTTTTTCGACAACACTCCTCGTTCTTAATTTACGCAAAAGTTGCCAACGTCTCGTTTCTGCTGATCGTCTTGCGTTCCTCTATTCAGTCCGGACTTCCTTGACACGAAATCCGTTATCCACGTGTTTCGCTGCGATAACATTCAGGGTTACATGGAGGTTTACATCCGACGTGCGTGAAAGTGACGTTTAAGGGATGAGGGATGGCAGGTATTTCCGCAAACGCAATTGAGCCTCCTGAGGAACCATTGTTGTCATGTTAATCGCAAAATTATCAAACGGAGAACGTGGAGGGGGAAGAAGAACGCACGATGGTCACATCGTGAATAAATTCGCACCCATATAACTTCGCGTAAAATTTCACGTGCTCCAGTACTTCTGACGGAAACAACAAACGCCTACTCGTGTTCCACGCTAAGTAGATACGTCCCGCCTTTAATTACAGCTGTGAAAACCTACACCTAAGTTCTAAAGTTTAAAGCGTCGCGTTTGGAGTACAGAATGCAAGCGAACCTCCGGCGATTAATATATACGGAAAGGACGATTTGTTTGAAGTATCTAAAAGTTTAGCCAAATTTTGCAGGTCTAAACACAATTTCGTTGGACCATCAAAATAATGATGGAGATGCTCAAACCGGTTTCTAGAATATTAAAAGTTTGCTTGAGATTTCCACATAATTATTATGGTCTAAAATTAATTTCAGACCTGTTCCTGACTAAGTTTTTAGATACTTCCAAATCGTATCAATAATCGTTCAATCGTTCAAAAATATTCGTTTTGGGTCCAAACGATCCGTTGCTGGAGAATTAATTCCGTGTGTCAAATATTCTTGCGTCGAATCAACTCCGGAAACTCGAAACTCCTGAACGAAAGGAAGAGGAAGACCACGCCGGAGGCGTTTTATTGCTTTCCCAAACTTGGTTGTCATCATTTTTAGAGTCGGTATTCGTAGTGAAGGTCTTATATTCAAGACCGTCTTAAGTACAGTCTCAAGAAGTCGCGGACCAATCAGAGGGCTGTATTATCGTCTTAAGACATTACTTAAGACAGTCTTGAAATAAGACCGGACTATGGCTGGTATTCGTAGTCGGTTCTTATTTCAAAGCCGTCTTAAGTCACTACTTAAAGTGTCTTAAGACGCTAATGCGGCCCTCTGATTGGTTCGTGACACCTCAAGACAAAACTTAACTCATTAAGAACCGAGACAAATTTTTTTTCTCAAAATTTTAAGCCCTTAAGGAGCCTACTTGCCAAAAATTTCGCATCCCAAAGTTGACCTATTTTTTTGATCGAAAAATCGACCAGTATTCCATCCTTAATGGATTAAGACGATCTCGAATATAAGAACCGACTATAAATACCGGCCTATGATGAAGTCTGATACCGTCCGATAGGATGAAGTAATAAATATCGCGCGCGACAATCCTCTCTTTCGCGAGACGTAGGTCAAGGACGCCGCACTTGAAGTGCATAACGGTGGAGGAGGATCGACGGCGTAGATTAAAACGGGGGGCGCGCGCGCGTGGGACACATCCCGACAATCGACGTCATTGCTTAAAATCCGGAATAAGAATTACGTTCTGGAATTGAAACGCGCGAGACGAACGCTATAAACGTCGAGTCTCGCGCGGACGTTCTTTGACGTTCAATATCGAGTTATGACGTCGGTCAGCGAAAACGCTAATCGGAAACCCTGCCAAGTCTTGGTGAAATTAGAAATAGATAATTTGGGAGGAGGGTGTGTTTCGATGTCGCAATAATTTCTAGCGAAATTGACGTCAGCTTTCGAATTTCGAACTTTCGAAGACATTTTTAACGAGGCTGCAAATTATAGTTGAGATTAATCTCACACGGAAATTAACTTTAACCTTAGTTCGAACGATCCCTCGTCTCCGTCTAATTTCAGTTCCGGAGCGAGGGACAAACGATCAAGTTAAACTACGGTTAAAGTTAACGGCCGACGGTGAGGGCGATCGTAAAAAGGCGGGAAAATTTCCGCGTTGGAAAATGTTTCGCTGGGGCGCGATTCAGGCTCGTTTGGGGGTATCCGTGCGAACGCGGTAATTGGCCCCGCTGTAAAATCGGAGAACGTTTAATTAGAGCGAAGATTGATACTGGCGTGCAAGCAAAAATTCTCTTAAGTATCGACCAAGTTTTATCTAATTAGGTCGCACAGACAAGTTCGGTCTTTCTCTTCCGCCGTATTTTTGGCGGCGACGCGACGTTCCGAGATTATCGAAGGGTCTGGATATTTTAGGGCGAAGGAAGCTTTTCGGCAATTAGTGCTCCAATTTCTGCCCCCGTGTTTCGCTCGCCCGTGTCGTTTATTTTGATAGCGACGCGAATCGATTTTTGCTAATCTACTAATCCATCGGTGCCACGGTGCAACAAAAATTTAGCGATTGAAAAGAAACGCTTATCAAACGGTTTTTTATCGAGCCGATTTTGAAACCTGACGAAATATTAATTACAACGGAAAAGTGCTAGATTTATCCTCGTATTCCTTGCGAATGTTATTTCGACGATGAGGAAAAACATATTCACGTCTTTTAACCCTTTGAAGCATGGTGGTAACCCACGTTACCACCTAAACTTCCTCAGTTTTTGGTCGTTTATTTTCTAATTGACGCATTTAGGTCTGGTTTTTTGTGTTAAAAAAATAGTTCAGTAGTCCTTATTTTTTATTTATTGTAACAGTTTTATAAATAAACAAAGATCAACATTTTTTTTTTTTTCCAGAAAAATGTATGCTTCAAAGGGTTAAACAATTATCTAGAATTTAGTTTCCAAAGTGATTAAATAGAGATAATTTAATTGGTGAAATTTTTAAACGTTTCGTTTGAGCGAGATTTAATTTTCACCCGACACGTGTCGGAATCCAACAGATTGAAATAAAAAATAGACTGAGAGCGGCGCTGTAAGGCGTCATCTACAATATGCGAAGTAAGTTTGGTTTAAGAAGTAAGAGTAGGAAATTGACTAATCATAGTCAATTATTTTTCTCACATGTGGTTGGTCAATTTCTTACTCTTCTTAAACTAAGCTTACTACATGTATTGTAGACGGGCCATAAGGCCCAATCCCACAACTCACGGTTAACTCTTAACTAATTCTAGAATTAGAAAGAAATAATGAATAAGTTGAACCATTAAGCGTTAACCATGAGTTGTGGAACTGGACCTAATAAGTAATGGATTCAACTTTACCGTATCGATTAATAAGTTGGCATCTTTGAAATAAACGATTGACACGTGTCTGAGAAATCACAGCATCGCGAAGTGTCGAAACGCTTTCAAAACACTTGAGTTACTGGGAATCCGAATTTAAAGTCGCTCCTTGAGGAAGAGGCGTAACCCGCGTGACGCAGTACGTGGATTTGAAATACGAAACGCAATTAGTTTCGCAAAGAGAAATTTTGAAACGTGTTTACAGCGCGTCTCTGACGTTAGAGGAGGCAAGTGCGATGACGAGAATCGCGCTGGCCTTGAATTCATTCAGCGTATATTCGTTATGTATGTTCATCTCACGCGCACAATCATGTACCGCGAAAACGAGTAAATAGAACGATCCGCGAGTACATTGCGCTTTTTATTGTCGAAACGTGGTGCAAATTGCTCATAATTTTCTAAGTATTAATTACGTAGTACACACGATGACTTTACGGTTCATAGTAAAAAAAACATTTTATATTTGTGTTTAGAAACGATCCATTCGAGTCTTCATTGAAATTTTGTGTTGCATTTTTAACATACTCGAGTATTAATTTAACACAATGTAATTATGTTATTTAAATATTTTATGTTATTTATATTCACATTTCTTTGTGTCAAAATAACACAATTTATGAGTAAGTGAATAAATAACACAAAAATAATATATTTTATATGCGTAAATTTTATATAATAATATATTTTATAAACATAAATTTTAAATTGAATGAATAAAATACGTGTTAATTTAACTGATTTAACATATCATAAATGTTAATTTTATTTAAAAAAAATATGCTTCCACAAATTTACGAATTATTTTAATGTTATATTTTTTACATAATATTTTTTACATAATAATATAACATAATAAAGTTATATTATTTACATAATAAGTGTTACTTTCTAATGTATTCATCTTAAATTAATTACAAAAATTTGAATGGAAATTTGAGTAAAATGTTAAATTTAACTAAAATTTTCCAACTGTGTGCACGTGATGAGTCGTTTTGGTTTAATTTTAATTACTTAAAGTATAAACTTACAATAGCAAAATTATTTAAGTGAATCTTATGTATACTTACTTTAATATCTTTAGAAAATATTTGTAAGGTTGTGTATTTAAAAAAAAAAACGAAAGGGCCATTATTTATTC